ACACACACACACACACACACACACACACACACACACACGCACCAGGGTCTTCTAGATCCTAGGACAGCTTCAGACTTTGCACGTAGCTGCAGATGACCGAGTGCTGGAGTTAAAAATAGGTGCCAGCCCAGCCGGTTTAATGTAGTGTTGGGGAGCATATGCTCGGCACCCACTGTAACAGCTGAGCTAGACGTCAGCTGGCTCAGAATCTTTACAGCCCCGTCACATGCTTCATTCTGCCATTAAGCCTGAGCAGTTACTATAAATGAAGATCAAAGTATGCTCATACCAACAGGTGCAGTAGTGCTTCCCAATGAGTCGCATTAGGTTTTGCCATCAAATGGGCCATGAGAATCCCAGATTTGGGGTGTCAGATGTAATAATAAAGGATTGTGGGTCTGTGTAGAGCACACCATTACAGTCAGGCCTAAAGAGGCGTTAGAGGTACAGAAGAATACAGGTGACAGAGTCCCTAGACTTTGCACCAGACTGGTGTATTCCACTCTTCCTCAAATACTGTTCTTTTACTCTTCCCAAAGGCATATGTGTCCCGATGCCAGCCCAGCTGTCACAGAGAATCGCTGTAGGAGACTGACAGGGTCAGCTCTGGAGCCCCAAGCTAAGGCTGACTAGCCCTGAGCCTTCGGCCAGGGGATGGCATCCCTCCAGGAGCTCCAAGACCATGCTCCTGGGGAGGAAGAAGGACTGGTGATTGTGAAGGTGGAAGATTGCTCTTGGGAACAGGAACCTGCCCAGCAGATGGACAGCAGGGATTCAGAAGCCTGCCGCCAGCGCTTCCGCCGCTTCTGCTACAGGGATGTGGGTGGGCCACATGAAGCCTTCAGCCAGCTCTGGGAGCTCTGCTGCCGTTGGCTGCGGCCTGAGCTGCACAGCAAGGAGCAGATCCTGGAACTGCTGGTGCTGGAGCAGTTCCTGGCTGTGCTACCAGGGGAGATCCAGGCCCAGGTGCAGAGACAGCACCTCGGGAGTGGTGACGAAGCTGTCGCTTTGGTGGAGGACATACAGAATCAGTCATTGAAAGCCTGGCCACAGGTGAGGGTCCTTTCCATATCTAGGAGCCTGAAGAGTAGAGGCCGTCTTCACGGAGACAAGTCTCTCCAGGGGGCAGGGAGAACACCAAATCCAGGGAAGCACACACAATCCCAATGTAGCAGCATGTGATGTGTTTCTTTAGTAAATGTAGTCTATTTTTCATGACTTCATTGGATTTAAAGTGGTTATGGTCCAGAAAGGTATAATTTTTTTTTTTTTTTTTTTTTTTTGAGACAGGGTTGCTGTGTGTGTGTGTAAGCCCAGGCTGTCCTGGAACTCACTCTGTAGACCAGGCTGGCCTTGAATTCAGAGATCCACCTGCCTCTGCCTCCCCAGTGAATCCAGAAAGGCTTTAAGCTCCATACAACCATTCATCTTTTGCTCTACTCAGTCAAATATGGTGATAAGCATCAGATCACGGGAGGGTATGAGACGGTAGAGCCATCAAAGGGTACCCTGCTGTCTTGAGTGCTTGACCCTGGGAGCATCTGGAGACATGTGAATGAGCAGCTAGGGTGTGAGGTTCTGCCATTGACAGGAGGAACCCTCCCCCCCCCACACACCTTTCTGCCTTGCTAAGTAGCTGTAACTCTAGCCTTTCAGGGATTGGTTCTTGCCCCTTGATCATGAAGTATCCTTGAGTATAAAACATTGCCTGATGTCACCTTCTTCTCTCTTTCTTTCTGGGCCTCCATTTAATCTCTTCCCCTACCCAACCCCCAGCCTCCTAATGGGTATGTCTCCTACCTCCTTCCCCCACCTCCAGTCTGGTCTCCGGGCTCATGGGCGTGTTCTGGTTACTGCACAGGGTGGACTCTCGGAAGTGGAGCCTAAGGCAGCAGCAGTCCAGGGACTCCAGGCCGCAGGGCCTCCCCAGAAGGCAAGAGCACAGAAGCAGCTGCCTGCACCCCAAGAGCAGCCTGGCCGTGGTGAGTAAGACTCTTCAGTCAGCAGTGTGGCCGCACAGGGCCTAGGTTTCTTCTCTAAGAGGGAAGCCCAGTCCCACGAGCACAAGTGAGCATGTATTTGGTGTGAGCACAGGTGTGCATGTATTTGGTGTGAGCACAAGTGTGCATGTATTTGGTGTGTGTACATATGCAGTGTGGATGAAGTCATCAGTCTCGGTCCTTGACCTTGGCTGTATGAAGCTCTGTTCTTTTCCTTCAGCCCAGCTTCCTGTTCTTAAAGAAGGACAGACAGGAGAGGTGATGGACGCTTGCTTTGGCTCTGCAGTTCATGTGAGTGAGCAGTCCCTTTGTTCTCTCTGCGGGCCTGGTGCTGTTGAATGTATGGTTTGACCCCTCTTGTCCCCACTCACAGCTGCCTGGGAGACCTGAGCTGGGTCACATCTCCCCATTTCAAACACCCGCGGCACTGGGAGACATCCCTTTCTATTTCTCCCGAGAAGAATGGGGCTCCCTGGACCCTGCTCAGAGGGATCTCTTCTGGGACATAAAGAGAGAGAACTCCCGGAATGCTGCTCTCGGTAAGTAGATCTATGGGGCCCTCTTTCTGCTGTAATCCTGGTTTTTCGTCCCACCCTTCCTGAACCGGGTTCTAAAGCTAGCTTTATCTGAGTCTCCTCAACAGCTTCCTATGGTGTTCAAGTGTGTGTGTCTCTGTGACCAGTTGACAGTGTTCTCTGTGTGCCAGCTCTGTGCTAGCGCCATGCTGGGGGCTTGCAAGGGCATTTTCTCAGTCAAATCTCAGTCTGGTATGCAGCAGTGTTTGTCCCCCGACAAAAGTCTGAGATTCAGTGAGTTTGATGGATCTTGTCAGCCATCATAAAAACAAAACAAAACAAAACAAAACAAGCTAGAACCCCAGCTGCACACCAAGTCAAGCCCTTTCTCAGCATTCCCTGGTCTCACTGGGAGTGGGTTTGGAGCTCCTCCTGTGCAAGGCTGCCTGCTGTGTTGTGTCTGCAGAGCTGGAGCCTAAGGAATAAGGGGGCCACAGTAGCTACACATACTGCTGCCTTCAGGTTACAGACGTGGGCGGTGGCACTGGCCAGCCACAGGGTGGGGAACAGGCAGAGGGTCTTTGTAATATAGCAGGTGCCTCTACGGAAGGATCAGCTCAGCTGCTCTCTAAGTCTGCCTCAGAACTGCTCATTTGCTAGCCTTTTATCATCTTCTCATTAAAAAAGGACTTACAATAAATCACATTTTAATATTTTTATTTTGTGTGCAGTACAGAGAAGAGCATGCGTGGAGTCAGAGGATGGCTTTCTGGAGTTGGTTCTTTCCTTTCGCCGTGTAGGTTCTGAGTGGAGCTCAGGCTCAGTGGTTAGGCTTGGCAGCGGGTGCCTTTACCCATCCAGCCATCTTGCTGGTCTGTCCAGTCATTTTGTAGGTAAGACCACTGAGGCTTGATCTGTCGGAGCCGCAGCAGCCTGAATCTCAAAGCCAGGGAGATTTCCCCGAGTTTCTTTAAATCTCTTCCCATCCCAAAACTAAGAGGAACAAAAGAGGCTTCTCCCCTCCTTGCAGGTTTGGGATCCCAAAGCCAGAGTGACAGAGGTCCTCCGGAGGAGGCTGTGACAGCATTGTTGGGACAGACTGACTGTGAAGTGAGTGCGTCCTGGAACCCCGAGGAGGCTGAGACAGAGGTCTGGAGGAGTGAAAACCCACCGAGGACAGCCCTGGGCCCGCTGCTGGTAGCTGGTCCTGGCCGGCCGCCTACTCGCAAGCGTCAGTTGCGGAATTTAGTTACTGAGAAGCCGCACAGCTGCGGGCAGTGCGGGAAGCGCTTCCGCTGGGGCTCAGACCTAGCCCGGCACCAGCGAACGCACACTGGTGAGAAGCCACACAAGTGTCCTGAATGTGACAAGAGCTTCCGCAGCTCTTCTGACCTGGTGCGCCACCAGGGCGTGCACACGGGTGAGAAACCCTTCTCCTGTTCTGAGTGTGGCAAGAGCTTCAGCCGCAGCGCCTACCTGGCTGACCATCAGCGCATCCACACAGGCGAGAAGCCTTTTGGCTGCAGCGAGTGCGGCAAGAGCTTCTCACTGCGCTCCTACCTGCTGGACCACCGGCGTGTGCACACGGGCGAGCGGCCTTTTGGCTGTGGCGAGTGTGACAAGAGCTTCAAGCAGCGTGCACACCTCATCGCGCACCAGAGCCTGCATGCCAAGATGGCCCAATCCGAGGGGTGAGTCGTCAGCGGGACCTGAGCAGCCCAGCGAGGTGGACACTCCCTGTGAGCCTCACAGCCTCCCTTTATTCCTCTTGGAGAAGTCTCCTTTTGCCTGTGATCACTGCCAGCCTATCAAGGGACCCAAGGGCCCTGTACTCTGAACTGGCCTGCCTGCTCCCAGGATCCTCCCACCTGTCTCTCCCCATCCTGCTCTGGATTTCTTTTCCACCTGTTTCCTGGAGCTTCACAGTTTCCAGTTGAGTATCAGGTGGTGTAAGGCCTTGGGCAGGACCTAGAGATTCTCTCCAGGACCCTCCAGCCTTGCTTGGGCAGAGGCTCCCTGTTTCTGTCGACTTGTGCCTTCCAGTGGGGACTGGCCTCCATCCTCAGGGGACTGCTGGGCTTTGGCAAGGACCATGGGCCCGCACCAATGAGAATTTAGGTCCTGGGTTTGGTCACAGCAGCTTCCTGGCCTTTCCCTCTCCCCGCTCCCAACCTGTGGCCACTCTTCTGACCCCAGGAAGCTGCCCAGCTGTCCTGCTGTGAACCCGGACACACCTGCCTGCAGGGGGTGACTATAGCAGCAGGCTGACTCTGGAGAACACCCACGCCTCCGGAAGTGTGGCTTTTGTACTTAACACTAGCACTCTATCAGCACTTGGTAGCTGACTCCTCCAGCACTGTATTCCATGGTTTTCATCTGCATTGTGTGCAGATTCACACATGGACCCTCCAAGAGGGCTCGGCCCAGTGGGCTTCAGAAGAGTTTGAATAAACATGGAAACTTTCCTTGAGGCTGCCTTTTTTTTAGCTGGCTTTTCTGAGTTGGGGGCATGGAAGTTATCTCTTGGCTTGGTCATGGTGTATGCAGTCACCAGGGGGAGCCACATCCTGTGTCTGCAGCCCTGTGACTCTGCAGCCTGGGACTCACCCAATGGGTGCAGACCTGGTTTGGAAGAGCAGGAGCCAAGCATGACTTGGAGTCTGTCAGGCCCTCCTTCACTGGGCCTGGTGAAATGCGCAGGGACTGAAATGAGACCGACCGACCAAATGAGGGCACACGCCTGCTGCTCTGTGGGGTCAAAGCTCAGAACTGCCCTGTGTGGGCTGGAAGCTATCAGGGAGGTTGATCAGCCCAAAGGAGTCCAGCTGTTACTCCCAGCCAGCCCTCAACACCCCTCCCCTGTCCCAGCACGAGCTGGGCCTACACCGAGCTGGTGGTGCCTGGTCAGGGCCAGTCACTCCTCTGACTCTTGCTGATCCTCTTGGTTTATTTTGTCAGCCTTAGGGGGCCTCGCCTGGGGATAGACAGAGATGAGATGTTCCTGTCCCTTATTAACTGATCCATGTGTGCCAGCCTTTGCCCTCAGGTTCCTTCCTCTGCCAGCCCCCAGTTTATCACATCTGCCTGTGGTCTCACCCATCCCCATTCCCCACATGACGCAACCAAGGTCGCACTGTTGATCAAGCAGGTTCCTGTCAGCTGCCTATTCCTGCCTCTGTAAGCTCTGCACTGTTGTATGCTTGGGTTTTGTGCGCTGCCGCATGGAGGACAGAGGGGAAAGGATGCTGGGAGCAGTATCAGGGCTTTAGAGCTGGCAGCTCCCTCCTGAAGGAGACACTTAGGTGTAACAAGATCAGGTAGGAACATGGGCCAAGGGCTAAGAATAGAATTGACTCAAGCTCATGGCTCAGGTGGGAACACACGAATGCCAGCCATGAAGTTATCAGTCAGAGCTGGAGAAGGGAGCTGGGCTGGGGGAGTGGAGCCCAGGGTTACCAAGAAAGGACAGAGTCCAGACGGAATCATAGCAGTTGATAGGAGGTAACATGTGTAGAAGGGGGCAAGGGTCAGGCTCCAGGGAACCAGAGCCAGGGAGTAAGCTCTGGGCTTGGAGGAAGCCCCACCTGGCCCTCATGGCCTTCCTGGTGTCTGGGACCCTACAGGCGGCTGCACAGTTGGTGGACGCTTGGGACAGCGTGGGGAGAAAGGTAGTGAGATGCTCTACCTGGCCCAGCCCATTCCCAACACCCAGCTGGCCTCCAGCCCAGCACAGCTCTGCTTTTCCTTTCCCAGGGGAAATACAGTGTGCAGGGTTCAAGGGTAGCCTTGATACTCAGCAGCCCCGGGGTATCTGCGATGGCAGTTGCTGCCCTGGACGGTGTGTCCCAGGCTCTGGGCTTTGAAAATTGTGAGAAGAAGAAGGTCCCAGTCCAGGTGAGCATTCACCCCGCAACCCTTAACTCTGAGCCAAAGCACTCACTTCTAGCTGGGGCCTCACCAGACCTTGCCTCTTTCTCCTAGAGCTTCCTTGAGGAGCTGAGTTTGTTCTGGGAGCAGCTGGATGCCAAGAGGGGTGCTGTGGGGTGTGCCCTTGTGGTTTTGATGGCCCCCAGTGGGCAGCTAAGGCGGCCACAGCTGCTGGTTCAGGAGCTGAGTCGCTGTGACGCCTTGCAGGGTTGCCCCAAAATCTTCCTGTTGCTCTCCGGTGGCCTCAAGGGTGAGTGACTAGGCAGTGACCCCATCTGGGAGGGAAAAGTGAAGGTGGGGGATGGACAAGAAAGCTGGGCCTTCTGTCCTACCTACACAGCCCTGGGGTGCTTCTCCACCAGCTGCCCGGGAGCCTGAAGCTTTCCTCACAGGTTTGGGGAGAATCTGCAGCCAACATCCTCACTGGTCACTGCTGCAGCTGCTGACGGAGGTGGGGGACCCAGAGGAAGGGAAGGCGGGCCCTAAGTCTCCCTGGCTCCCCAGGGCCAGTTACAGCTAAATGTATTCACACTCGGTTGCATCTGTTCTGAAAACCTACACACATGCATGGGCTGCAGGACATGCCTTCACACCTACACAGGACCACCCAGACTCCAGACTTCCTCTACACCCCACGCCTTTGCCCGAAGTATTCCCTCGATGTGCTGTGCCCTCCCTGGTGGCCTGGCCAGTCTCACTGTCGTCAGTGGTACCCTTTCATGTGCTGCTATCTGCAGTGAAACTTCAGTCTCAGCCTTGGACAGGCACGCAGGCAGCGACTGCTGATCTGCTCTACTCAAAGGCCCCGTGGCTTAGGTTTGGTCCTGAGGTCTGAACATCTTGTTAGGTAGTTCAGTCGTGTCTGAGTGGCCTAGAGGTGTAGAGGTGAGAGCTGTGGGCTCTCTGGCCTAGCACCTCTCCAGGTGATGCCACTTGGGAGTCCTCCACAGGCCTGTGCTCCTCCAGGGAGGGCCCTGCCTCTGTGTGTATTAACCCCTAGGGTGAGATAATGAACTTGAGTGTGAGTCAGAGCCTAGGTCTGGCTTACGTCCAGCCTGACCTCTCTCGTCCCCTCTTTCTCCCTGTCATGTGACCTCTGAAGCCTGCAGCAGCTCTGAGCTGGCTAAGTTTCCCCTGGAGCCGGGATCCTGACCCCTCGGGGTTGCAGCCCCACCCCATCCCTAACGGTCCAGTTCTCTGAGGGGTCCCTGGGCCCTGCCTCCCAGCTCTTTTGCAGAGTGGCTGAAGAGTCTGCTGGGGATACCTACTGCCCAGTCTTTAGGACCTCCTTGCGGGGGACCCTGTGTTTGGGAGATGTGGAGCCCTGGAAGCCAGAGGTGAGGGGCAGGGAGAGAGGCTGGTCCTGTGTGGGCAGATGCAGGTTGGGTGGAGGCCAAGAGAGATACAGATGGGGAGAAGAGGGACTGGGAGTCCCCTCAGCCCACTGTGCGTCCCTAACCCTCTGTACAGTCCGACTCCGGACCAAGTGCACAGTATGACCTGTCTGGGACCAGGGCCGCCCTCCTGCTGGCTGTGATTCAAGACCGGCTTGGGATGCAGCATGATGTGGCAGCACTGGGGGACCTGTGCCAGGCCTTGGGCTTCAAGGTCACCCTGAGGACAGACCCTACAGCCCAGGTCAGGGAAGTCTAAAACTGGCGGTGCTTGGAAGGAAGGGTGCCCCTGCCCCTAGGACCCTGGAGTTTTCCTTCCTGGGTTCCTCCCACATCACAGGCAGGAAACACATCATGTCTAGCCTCTGACTTCTTGCTACATGCATATGACAGTCACTTCTCTGCCTTGGTAAGCCTGCTATGGAAGATAGAGGCTGAAGAGGTGCCCCCAGCCCCTTGGAGGGCAGCCAGGGGCTGGCTCAGACCTTGACCTTGCCCTCACCACTCCAGGCATTCTGGGAGGAGCTGGCTCAGTTCCGGGAAAAGCTGGACACTCACAAGGGCCCTGTGAGCTGTGCCCTGGTGGCCCTGATGGCTCACGGGGGGCCACAGGGGCAGCTGCTGGGTGCTGATGGGCAAGGAGTACAGCCTGAGATGCTGGTACAGGAGCTGAGCTGCTGTCGGGCCCTGCAGGGTCGCCCCAAGATCTTCCTGCTCCAGGCCTGCCGTGGTGGTAAGAGGCCCTGCCTTAAGCCCACCCACCTACCCTGGCATTCCTCTGCCAGCCCTTGGCCTCCCACATTCCCACCCACCTCCTCCAGGAAGCCTGCGCTCTAGCCTTTCCCTGGCCCTCTCCATCCTCCCCACAAACTTGACCCTGATGGCTATTGCCAGCTCTGTAAGTCTGCCCCACTATTTATATGGAGTCTAGATCACCCAGAAGGTACCTGAGGTACCACTGAGTAAAAGTATCTGCCTCCCTCCTCCAGGGAACAGGGACCCTGGGGTGAGGCCAAGAGCTCTCCCATGGTACAGGCGCTGGCTGCGAGCACCCCCAGCCCTCCCCACCCAGGCAGATGTTCTCCAGATTCATGTGGATGCCCCAGGTGGGTCTGCCTTCCTTCTGGAGCCTGGGCTTGGCACACTGGTGGTGGGAATGGTTCATGACATACTTCCAGGACTGTCATCATGGTTCTGCTATCACCTCTGCGCCGTCTTTGCCAAGACTCAGGGAGGGACCTAAGTGAGCTAGCAATGTGAAGTCAGCAAGGAGAACTCGCTTCTTTGAGTTCATACAGTTACAGCCTGAATGCTGTAAGGCTTGTGGTTTTTCCATCTGTCCTGCGCTCTTTGCACTGCCCTGTGCTGCCCTTGAACCAGAGATGACAAGACCCGAGGCAGTCAGGGTTCCAGGATGCTGCTAAAGGGGGTTGACTCTTTTTCAGGCAGCCCTCCCTCCACTCCGGGAAGCTCTAGCCAAGCAGACATCCTTACTGTCTACGCAGCTGCTGAGGGTAAGTTATCGGGGACCTAGCTTCCTGCCCTGAGACCAGGAGTGATTTTACTATCAGCAAGAGCAGAGGCACCAGCCCAGCTGTATTAAGCCATCTTCTCCCACAGTTTATTCTTTGTAGTCATAGTAACTGTGGCACGCTTTTGTCAAGTGCCTGCTAGACAAGCACTTGCCAAGGTCTTCAAGGACAGGGCAGGTCTGTTTGCCTCAGGACCCTGTCCAGTGCTTGGTACCTAGCAAATCCACAGTAAATGTTTGTTCTGCATTGACTCTACCCAGATACTCTACAAATATCAGCATCTGATACAAGAAGTCCCTGGCCCTGTTCTGGTCTCAAGCCAGATACCCAGAATCCCCCCTGCTTGCCCTTCTCACTGCTCTGGGGGTTGGGAAGCAGAGGGCAGCAGGCCAAGGCTGACTGACTCTCTGGCCCTATCCCTGGCCTAGGCTGTGTGGCCTATCGGGACGAAGAAAAGGGCTCAGACTTTGTCCAGACGCTGGTGGAGGTCATCAGAGCCAACCCTGGCGGAGATCTCATTGAGCTGTTGACAGAGGTGTGAAGGGCAGGAACAGGGACAGAGAAAGCAAGCCTGGGTTGGTGGTAGTGTTCCCATTATCTTCCGCTTACCCCAGGGAAAGGAGCAGGCTCTCTGTGTCTCTGTCTCTCTCTGTGCCCCCGCTTCTCTCTAGAATAGTAAACACCTTTATTACTAGGAGGGATCGCTGGTGCTCACAGTATGAAATGGTCAAATACACATGGCCCCCTGGTCAGACCAACTCCCAAGCAATATATGGGGTGGGGAGCCTTTCCCACTGGGTGGGGCTTTTTTTGGTGAGAGCAAGGAATCATGTTAAACCTCTGGGGCAGTTGAGGCTCAAAGACGATCAAGTAGTACTTGAAATTTTAGGCTTACAGAGCAGGCAAGAGCCAGGCGTTGTGGGGCATGCCTGTAGCTGGAAGGTAGTGACTGGATCTCAGAGTTTGAGACCAGCCTGGGATACATAGTGAGATTGTTTCAGAAAGCATCCCCTCCCCACAAAGAAACCCCAGCAGACAAGGACTGCAGTGGGTGTGCCAGACTGAGTCCCTCGGGGCCTAGCTGAGTGTCGTTCCTCAGGTCAACAGGAGGGTATGTGAGTTGGATGTGCTGGGGCCAGACAGTGATGAGCTGCGCAAGGTCTGCTTGGAGATCCGCAGCTCGCTCCGGCGCCGGCTCTGTTTATAGGACTGACAGCCCTGCTACTTCCGATCCACCCCCCTTCAGCACTCTGTCATCGATGCAGCATCTTAGGCATGGGAACTCGGATAGCGTGCAATAAATATCTGTTCACGATCCTTGTGCTCCGGGAAATTCATGCTCTCTCTGCAATAAGTGAGATAACGGGTAAAGTACCTGGCATTAGATAGAGGAACAGCTGTGCTCCTGGGGACCAGAGGTTGGTTTGGGTCTGTGCCTCGCGTCTGAGACTACGGAACCTAACAGGGCTGGCCTGCATATGCTGGGAGCGGCCTAGGGAGAAAGAAGTCCTGCGAAGAACCAGCTCAGGGACCGTAGTTCAATCTCCACCTGGCTCTAGGCACCAAAATGCAGGAGAGGCAAGCCAAGTCGGGTCAAGACTGGAAGAGACCATTGCGGATACACCAGTGAGGGGATGGCGCATGCGCATGGATTGTCCGTAATCCTGAGTTGAGGGCCAGCAAGTGGAGGAGGAGGAGGTTGGAAAGGCGAGCTTCTCGGATCCAGAGGGCTTCCACTGGCGGATTGCCCAGGAGGGCTCAGACCGATTCAAACTTGTTGAGGCTCCCAAGCATCTCACACCAAATAGATTAGCCCAAAGGGGCGGGACCTTTCTCCAGTTTAAGCATGCGCAGTAGGCCCTTGAGAAAGCCTTATGGGAAGAACTCACCCATAGGCGGACGTAGGGCCGCGTGGCCTAATGGATAAGGCGTCTGATTCCGGATCAGAAGATTGGGGGTTCGAGTCCCTTCGTGGTCGCTGCAAGTCTACAACTTTTATAAATCCCACTGAAAAATTCCCCGTTCCCTTTGCGGTCACTGCAAGTGTATGGTTTTTATAAACCCCAGTGAAAAAGTCCCCCTTCTTGGGTTTGCTGTGTTCTTTTCACCGCACGGCTCTCCGAACTCCCGATTCTGTCCGGTATCCCGGACGACTTGAGAGGAACTCCAGCATGCTAGTAATCAGTAAGTGAAGCCAGCTCAAAACAGGGTGCAAGCAGCACGAATTAACGTTGAGGGAGGGGGTTGTTTGCAGAAGGGATGGGAGTTGTCCGAAGGGCAAGGCAAAAACACTTGGATTAAAAAACTCAGTAGCCTATCCGGTTGATTACACAATGTGGTGAATGCAATTAATGCCGCTGAACAGACATCTGAAAATAGTTAAAGCAGTGAATTTGGTTTATACGTATGTCCACAGCTCTAAAATCCGTGAAACAATCTAATAGATTAGATTTCTCACAATGCGAGGCTGTCTTGTGCAGGCACACGGGTAATCCCACCTAGCTTTTGGAAGGTGGAGGCAGGAGAGTAATGGCCAGTCTTGTCTCAACAACACAAAAGCTGTCTCCTTACAGGTCCAATGCAAATGTAAATTTTTAAATAGCAAGAATATGTCCAGGATTGAGTTGACCTTTCTCCTGGGGGGTGGGGAGGAATCTCTATCCAAGGGATTCGGTGGAAAAAGAAACGTCTTTCATCCTCGCCACTCCTAGCTACAAAAGGCGAGGGCGGGGAGCCCGCTCAGGTGATCAGCGCTGGGGGGAGTCATTTGCTCTTCAGTGTTACAGTGGTTTAATGAGGCTTGTAAATATAAGTTAGATCAGTCACACACACACACACACACACACACACACACACACACACACACACACACACACACACACGAGCTAAAGGAGAGTCAAACGGACCCGAGGGTAATGTAACTGGGCTGGAACTCAGCCTCAAGCCAAAGATCTCAGGTTCTTCCAACTGGGCTGGCTCACTGCGCAGAACTTTTTCATTTCTTTTTTCTTTCTTTCTTCCTCCCTTTCTTTCTTTCTTTTTTTTTCTTTTTTTTCTTTTTTCTTTCTTTCTTTCTGAGGGTGAGGGTATTAAGTAAAATATATAGGCCAGCTCTATACTCTATAAAGAAAAACAGTGAAGACCTGTCCCTACCAAGTAAGTGGCATTTGGTCGAAGAGACAGAGGGAGAGGACCGGACAGAGGCCGAGCACAGTGCACACTCTTTCTGGAAAGGGAACAGGCACTGCAAAACACATGTTTCCCTACCTGCGGTCCCGGGTCAAAGGGCTCATTCAATATTTGAGTCTTGGACACCTTGCACCACAGAAAGATGTTATACTCACTCTAGACCAATGAGCTAAGATAAAACCAGTGATGCACATTTTTCACTTTCTTCTTCACAAGTGCTCTTTTAGATCCCAAGGGTGCTCCGGGGCCTTGACCTGGAGCCTTCACTGAGAATGGACGCGAAAGGCTGAAAAAAGGGGCAGCGACTCGCGAGGAAATAGTAGAGATACAAGAAACCCGCAGACAGAACGGAAAGAAACTAGTGAAAGATACATAACACCTTCTTCTCGTCAGCCCCGGTGGCCTAATGGATAAGGCATTGGCCTCCTAAGCCAGGGATTGTGGGTTCGAGTCCCACCCGGGGTAGGAAGGCTGTGTTTTAGACACCTGGAAATTCAAAATGTGTAAAGGAGAAACGAAATAACGCTTCAAAATTCGGGAGGTTTTGGCACACCTTTCAAGTTAGAAGTGATGTTTTGTTTTCAGATAAATACATGTTTTCACTTTACAAAATACCGTGCGATGGCATTTGCACTACTTTTATGAACCACTAATTATGAGTTGATATTAAAACAATTGTTCAGAGTCTAGACGTACAATTGTATTTCGGTCTCCCCCCCTCCTTTTTTTTTTTTTTTTTTGTTACTTATGAGAGTCTTGTTATGTAGACCAGATTGAGCTCGAACTCACAGTCCTTCTGCATCTCTTTCCTGAACCCTGGGATTACACATGTACACCTGACTCCAGGTTAGGTTTTAGATTTTTAAAAAGTCTTTTTCTGTGGTTGTTTGTTTGTTTTTTGGGACAGGGTTACTCTGTGTAGCCTTAGCTGTCCTGGAACTCACTCTGTAGACCAGGCTGGCCTCAAACTCACAGAGATTCACCTGCCTTTAATTCAGTGCTGGGATTAAAGGAGAAATTCTTACTGATTATAAACCGAATTATTTAGAGATCAACTTCCAAAACAACTGATTAGTTTTTAAATTCTAGATTGGGGCTTGGAGCATAGCTCAGTGGTAGACACAAAAGCACAAAATACTATTTTCTTAGCTTTAGTACATGTTTGAAATAGATAATACTATTGTATGTTAAAAATATGTATAATACTCAGCTTCATCCTTGGGGTAAAAATGCCCCCAAATACAAGCCTTGATCTATTGTAAAACCGGAAGCTTCTGATGCATTATGTCCCACGGGGCCTTCTTAATTGATGCTGTCTTTCACAGGAGCCTCCCTGAGGTTGCCGATTCACCCTACCCGTGAGTCTGCATCATGCAGCATGAAATTGCATTTTCTTTGTTTTAGTAAGAGCCACTCTGTGGCCGCAAGATAATTGTATGGAGGCCTTCCGGGTTTTGGCCCTGACCTTCTAGACATTCAGCCTTCAACAGAAGACACTTCTGTTTGTTTTGTTTTAGAACAATTCATGATTTTTATTACTTAGAAAAAAAAAGATTCAGAACGAGGGTGGTGGCGCTCACCTACAATCCCAGCATTAGGGATCCAGAGGCAGGTGAGTCTTTTCGAGGCCAGTCTGGATTACTCTCGAGTTCCAGGACAACCTGTTCATTGTACTGTACCTGGAAATTTTATGTAAATAAGATTTATTTGTAAAGTGTCAGGTTAAATATATAAAAATTAAATATAAAGAGAAGAAAAACTCGCCTCTACAAGTTCCTGGTTCTGTGGCCCGATGACCATAGGGAACGTATATGGAATCCTCAGCCTTCATTAAACACGACTCCTGTATACTACAGATGTCTGCCCAGCTGCAGATCTCATAGACAAAACTGCTCGCCCAACGTGGGGCTCGAACCCACGACCCTGAGATTAAGAGTCTCATGCTCTACCGACTGAGCTAGCCGGGCGGCGGCGGTGATGCTGTTCCCAACAGACCTGTTGAAGTTCTTTAGGACTTCCGGGTTCTAGACTAAGTGGGACTTGTGACCTAGGACGAGCATCTAGCCTCAGACGGTGGTGGGTTTACCCCTCCAGCCTCCTACAATTGCACTGCCAGGCTCGGCGTGGCCCCTTCGGTTCTCAGGAGCCACAGGGTGGGGGGCAAGGTGGTGGACTGTGAGGGTGTTAGAGACCCCCGTTTAGGGCCTGATCGGTTTCACGACCTAACAACCATGGGCGAGCCTGCCTTTTCAAACTCGCCGCAGAGACGCCGGGTCCCTTGCCAAACGCTGTGCGGAGGTGAAGTTTGGGGCGTTCGTTGTTCTGCCCTCTGCTGCGCAAGAAGCGAACCCCGAGTCCAGCTCTGGCTTCTGTATCCGTGTCTCTGAGCTGCGCGGGTCTTCGGGGCCGAGTCCAGGCCGGAGTGGGCTCGGCCAAGAGACAGGATCTGCGGTTCCTTGGAGGACCCCGGCTCTTCCCGGATGCTTGAGCTCCCGGGGCCTAGCGGATCAGGAGGCGGCAATCCCCTGTCTCATTCTCGAGGTTCTAGACTTGGATTCTATTTGGGGTGAAATTTCGAGTCGGGGTCCACCTTGAGATTGCATTGCTCACGCGAGCTTTCTGACTTCCCTTTCCCGGAGGACGGTGGTCCCTGGTCACTCATGCCTAATGCTGGGCCTCAGGGCTGGGGTCGGACCTACCTTGAGTGTGTGAGAACTTTCTCTTCCGTCCTCACAGTGCTGCACCTCCCTCCGTTTTCCGGAACCCACAGAGAAACGAACTCGGAGAATCCCTCCAGGCAGGACTAGAGGAATGGAGTCCACGGAGGCGGTGTCAATCGGGTGAAGATATCCAAGGACTAGTTCGTAACCCATCCCCGCAGTGGCTCGTTGGTCTAGGGGTATGATTCTCGCTTTGGGTGCGAGAGGTCCCGGGTTCAAATCCCGGACGAGCCCGTAGTTCCTTTTATACTTTTTAGAGTGAAAACGAGTTCAGCGAGGTGCTAGATCCTGGGACAGAGTCGAAGGCATAGCACAACTTCAGGCACTAAGTAGCCTGGGTCGCCTGTCGCCAGCCCTGTTCTGTCAGATATCTCTGGTTTAACGCAGCTCTGGGGTCTTGGTGCAGCTGGAGGACAAACGGCTTGCGATGTAGATCCTAGCAGAGAACAAGGAGAAATCCCTCCCTGCCACCCCTGTCTCCGCAGATGCCTGGGTGTCGCAAGCCAGGCCTCTCAGGAACCATCTACGGCCCTGGCTCAGGTCGTGAAGTTAAATTCTGGCGTCGGGTGTTCTGAATCACCTTCTGGAAATGCTGCCCTCTGCGCCTTCCACAACCACGGGGAGGAGATGGCAGCAGCAGAGGTTGTGTGCCCTCAGCCT